ACCAATTATCTTTCTCTCTCCTTCACCGCGGGCCAAAAGAAGATGGAGTGTGGCGGCACGGAACAGAGATGCCGGTAGTTTGTGTAAGAGGGGAAAGCGGGGAAGAGTGGGAAACAAGAAAGATGGCTTAGGAATATGAGCAAGGTATGTAGGAGTAAGTGGAGTGGACAGTATCAGTTTTTGTAGTTCACATCGCAAGAGCAAGTGGCAGGAAAAGTAATAAAATTACAGAATGTTGGTAGAAGGTAAAGTTGTCCCTGTACTTAACTAACTGAGCACTATATCATAAGGGCGTATGGGGGAGTGGAGTTATACATCCACATTTTCTTGACCTCGGCAATATTTGGAGGTGAATGGTCATCTTCACGCCCCGACCGCTTTACCTCCGGGCGAAAATCCCCCGGTATCCATTGGATATGAGGCTGTGTGGGCCCCAGAGTCAGTAAAGCTATTCCTGTATCGGGCCGTGGTGGTCCATAAGGTTGTGAGATGTCGAGGCTCCCACATTTTCTAGACAGCCGGTTCACAGATGGCGGTAAGGCCGGCCACCCTTTACTCCCCAGAAGTTTCCTGCTAGAGGCTGAGTGCGGCTGGAAGGATTAGGTCAGTTGAAAAACCCAGTCACTTCATATGAGGTAGATGAAAAACATTATGTAGGACTTGAGGTTCTCACAGCAGTAATTATGGAGAATACTATTTTCTGGGATATGGGACATGTAATCCGTTGAAAGTCAACCGACGTTTCGGAGGAATATCGCCTGAAGATGGAGGCGATATGTTCCTCCGAAACGTCGGTCGACTTTTAACGAGCTACATGGCGATATATCATAGAAGATAGTATTATTCTGTGTATATATAATTTAAATATTTTACGGCTGCATTATGCAATGAAGTCTGTTTCTTGTTTCCTTATAATATAATCTGGCTCTTTAAGGTTCTTGCAAGGTACCGTCTAAGAAGCCTCACGTGTGCAGTCCATGTTCTTAATTTGCTTTTCTTTATCTTAATAAGACATGTACAAATGTGAAGTCACCAAATTATTGTCATATCTGCCCACTCCACAACCTCCATGGCGGTACAGCAAGATTGCCTGGCTTCTTGTCACGGGCGGATTGGAGTGAGAGAGAGCGAGAAGCAACCAATGGGAAACAAGGTGGCGCATGCCGCCACAGAACGTGTCCTGATTGGTTAAAAAAGCATTCTTGAAGGGAAGAGGACCCCTTCTGGCATGGGAATGTTCATCCACCACGTTTTCTCACGACAAGAACCGAGGTTGTGACGCCGTACCAGGAATTTAGGGAACTGAGAAGCTGTGTGGCCGCTCCCCTAACTGTACTGAGGCCTCCAGGTTTGTATCCGTTGCACCCTGCGCTACATGTCAAGTCTGATAAATCAACTATGTGGCCGACTGACGATTTTCACATATCTTCTGGGATGTGACGGCCCGACGTTTCGAAGGGACGTATTGACTCCATCTACATGGTCCAAAAGTTATTTTTTTTAATTAGTTAATGTAAGAAGAGTATTCCTACGTGGGATGTGACGCTGTGTAGTTTGGTATAAATTTACTGACTTTTCAGCGAAACATCCAATCTTTATCTTCAGAGCCGAAGAGTTACTCCACGTAAATAGGGGCATGGTTGAGGCACTATGATACAAGCCGAAAGGTCGTTAGTTCGATTCCCGATGAGGTCATTGGATATTTTGTAATTGACCTGATCCTTCCAGCCGAAGTATGGTCCTGGGGTCGACTCAGCCTCTAACAGAAATGAGTACCAGGAATCATCCTGGGGGTAAAGGGAGGCCGGCGCGTAAGGCTGCCAATCAAGTAAATATTTAAGAGGAAGAATGTAAAGAGAATTCTAGTAATAATGATAATGATGTTGATGATGATGATTTGCTAATATTTTTCTTCCGCAAAGTAAATTCCCTGAATAGGCTTAGTATACACAACAGAAAAAATAGATAAATAAATCAACAGTGGCGTAAAAGAATAAGTAAATACATGCGCTTGGATACAGGAAGGGAGGGTGAGTGGGCCAGATGGGAAATCAATAGAGAGGAGAGAGGAAGGATGTTCTACCCTGAAGATTGAGGCGATACGTTCCTCCGAAACGTCGATGTACACGGCGCCATATCCCAGAAGACGGCATTCTTCATAGTCACCGCCCTGATAGTTTTAAATCTTACTCCCCCTAGTTATTTCCCTATTCATTTTCTGACATCGCTAAGCTCCAAGACTTACGCTGCATGCAGAATAAATGCAGCGCACCTCCCCTTGCTTTATGCAGAGAAGGGCCAAGACTGTTTCACACGGTGCAGTGTCACCCACGCAACTCCCACGAGGTTGAAGACTGGTATTGTTTTCTGAACATTCTGCGGCTCGCTGTTCCGGCCGCGTATGAACGTTGTCCGTTGCTTCCTGACAACGATCGTAGCAGGATAAACAGAAATATCAGAGTCCTTCTTGAGAAGCCGCCAGTAGTGCAGCTACTGAAGAACTTACCAGCATTTTATGGAACCCGAAGGTTCATTACCGTGATCACAAGAGCCCTCCACTGGTCCCTATCCTCAGCCAGATCGATCCAGTCCATACAGCTCCATCTTATCTAAGATACATTTTAATATTATCCACCCACTTATGTCTTGGTCTTCCCAGTGGTCTCTTCTTGCTTTCCCACCAATATCCTATACGCATTCCTCTTGTTTCTCATTCGTGCTACATTCCCTTCCCATCTTATCCTCCTTGACTTGATCATTTTAATTATACTTAGCGAAGAGTATAAGTTATAAAGTTCCTCATTCCTTGAATAGGAAATCTTATGGAAGTAAATTCATGTGTCAACTCCGGTTTGGTGATTTTGGTACCAATTCTACGTTGAAAACAGAATCTAATAACTTTCTGATGACGTAACGATGCACGTCACTGTTCTGAACATGCCCGCCCTGTCACAGATGTTTTAGATAGACTTTTTCTCCTTGGCACTATAGCCCCAGTGGGCCTTGGCCCACCTCCATGAACTTCTCCGTTCACTTCGGTTTTTCTAGATCTTACACATTCGGTAGGACTCCTTGGGCGAGTGATCAGCTCTCGCAAGGCCTCTACCTGTAGACAAACACAGAAGAACGCACACACACACAAACTAATCATCCATGCCCTGAGTGGGATTCGAACCCGCGATCCCGGCTTCCGAGCGAGCGAAGACAGTACATGCCTTAGACCGCTCGGCTACCGTGACCGGCTTTAGATAGAATATTCATGTATATTCTGGGCAGAAATATTGACTACTATGGTGATGATGATAATAATAATTCAAATCTTTATTATCTTTGTGCCGAATCAACAGCCACAAGGCCAATTACAGACACAGTACAATGTAGATACAGGTAATTGCATTATGGACAGTTGTAATGTAAAGATAAAGACACGACACACGCTTTAGCAATATTAAGTCTCATGGAATTAATGTCAGATCAGAATAAGAGACAATCATGTGGTGAGTTAATGATGATGGTGATGATGATGATGATAATAATAATTTAGGTATCCCAGTTCATAGTAATAGCAGCAGCAGCAGTAGCAACAGTAGCAGTAGTAGTAATAGTAGTCGTAATAAGAACTAGCTAGGAATGTACAATGACGCCATTTTGTTTAGTAGAATACTCAGGATGTATTACAAGGTAGGCAGGTCTGAAGGATTCTGACGGTGTTGTATAACACTCAGAATTACTGGGGTTTTTGGATTCTGTCCTTCGTCCGGTATTGTAGAAAATAGAAAACACGACGTTTCGGAAACTGGATCTCAGGTTGGGTGAAGATACCGACTCAGTTGGGTCCCTTACAAAAGAGCCCTTCACCAATTGAGGACGGAAACAGATCCAGTTTCCGAAACGTCGTTGTTGTTTTTTTTTTTTTTTTTTTTTTTTTTTTTTTTTTTTTTTTTTTTTTTTTTTTTTTTTTTTTTTTTTTTTTTTTTTTTTTTTTTTTTTTTTTTTTTTTTTTTTTTTTTTTTTTTTTTTTTTTTTTTTTTTTTTTTTTTTTTTTTTTTTTTTTTTTTTTTTTTTTTTTTTTTTTTTTTTTTTTTTTTTTTTTTTTTTTTTTTTTTTTTTTTTTTTTTTTTTTTTTTTTTTTTTTTTTTTTTTTTTTTTTTTTTTTTTTTTTTTTTTTTTTTTTTTTTTTTTTTTTTTTTTTTTTTTTTTTTTTTTTTTTTTTTTTTTTTTTTTTTTTTTTTTTTTTTTTTTTTTTTTTTTTTTTTTTTTTTTTTTTTTTTTTTTTTTTTTTTTTTTTTTTTTTTTTTTTTTTTTTTTTTTTTTTTTTTTTTTTTTTTTTTTTTTTTTTTTTTTTTTTTTTTTTTTTTTTTTTTTTTTTTTTTTTTTTTTTTTTTTTTTTTTTTTTTTTTTTTTTTTTTTTTTTTTTTTTTTTTTTTTTTTTTTTTTTTTTTTTTTTTTTTTTTTTTTTTTTTTTTTTTTTTTTTTTTTTTTTTTTTTTTTTTTTTTTTTTTTTTTTTTTTTTTTTTTTTTTTTTTTTTTTTTTTTTTTTTTTTTTTTTTTTTTTTTTTTTTTTTTTTTTTTTTTTTTTTTTGGAATACCGGACGCTGGGAAAAGCCCCAAAACCCAGTATTTCTGAGTACAAGGCAGGTGTTTGTTAAACAGCCATAAAATAAGACTCCCATAATTCAGAGCAAGTATCTGTTTTGTGGAGTTCATTGTTTTTCGATAATCAGATTTGGAAATTTATATATCCGTTTTATTGAGGCACCATTCGGTGTTTGTAAACAAATTTTCTGGCTACTGAGCTCCCGGGAAACTAGTTGGGAAGTAAAATCCCGATAAAGAGGAGGCATGTATATATGTGTATTTCCGTTTCAAAATCTGTTATGCGTTCCAACGAATGCACAATTCTTTTGGAGAGCACTGTACAGTACGCCGCGGCCGTGGAGGGGGGAGAAGCACGTGGAGGAGAGTTGGCAGGCATGCCCCAGCCCGTGTGTCTCCTCTGTTGCTTTCCCACCAGGCAGACCAGTCGCTTCCTGGCTGCGAGAGGTGCAACGTGCCCGGAAGAAGTCAGTGTTCAGTGCGCGCGAGCAGTGTGTGTTGTGACGAGAAGTGTTCGTGTGTTCCGAAGATGGTTACCGGAGGTGGTACAGTATCGCCTGCTGTGGTACCTGGCCCCGGCATTATTGCGGGCAGTGCCCCTGGCTGTGTGACCACAGCAACACCGACACCAGGACCCGACACTGCGGGCCTACCTCCCCAGAGACGAGTGACGGAAAACAGAAGGGTAAGTGAGAGGCAAACCCGCTAGTACTGTATCGTGTGTGGACGGGTTTATTTCAAGAAGAGTGTCGGGGGTTAATGAGGGTCAGGTTTCTAACGGGGTTGAATTCAGAGCACTGTCATCAGATGTGGCATGTAGTGTGACAGAGGTACTGTATTAGCCGGAATATGAGACGAGTTTCTGTTTTCTTCAAATACCTCCCCTTAGGAAAGAGGGGGTTTCGGGAATGAATAAGTGATTATATCAGTAATAACCCTCAAAAATGTATGACACGTTCAAATTTGTATTTAAAAAAATACTCTGATTTTGTTATTGGAAAAATAGAGGGTGGCTTTATATTTGGGTTTATGCCGTGTATTTACGTTCCTTAGTGGGGTGGGACTGAGTATCTTGCGCTGCGACCACTTCTGGCCTATTGTACTAGCCCCAGATGATAGGTGAGGGCGATTGTGGAGCAATTGGTGGAATGAAGATCGGCAGGGGAAACCGAAGTACTCGGAGAAATACCTACCCCAGTGCCACTTTTTCCACCACAAATCGCACATGACCTGACCCGAGCCCGAACCCGGGTCGCCGCAATGGAAGCCGGCTACTAACCGCCTGAGCTATGTCACGGCCTGTGTATTTACGTTCGTGAGGGACGCATTACCCTGGTCTGCAGTGCCGAAAGGTAACCCAATTAAGCTGTGGAGTAGTGCCTGAAGAACTAACACTGTTCCAGAACAGTGGCCTCTTCCAGTTCAGTGAGGTTCTTATGTCGGTGGAGAAATGCGTTGTCTTGTAGATAAGTCCCTTGTACGGCGGCCACTTCTGGCCTATTGCACCAGCCCCAGATGATAGGTGAGGGTGATTGTGGAGCAATTGGTGGAATGAAGATTGGCAGGGGAAACCAAAGTACTCGGAGAAAACCTGCCCCAGTGACAGTTTGTCCTCCACAAATCCCACTTGATCAGACCCCGGGATCGAACTCGGGCCGCCGCGGTGGGAAATCAGCGACTAACAGCTTGAGCTATGGCGCGGCCCTATATAACACTTAGTGCAGTTTGGTTGATGGTTAATATCATTTTGCGGGAAGATAATTCGGGATAGAATTGAAGATGTACATAGTCTGAATAGTACATAGTACATAGTCGTACATAGTCTGAAACATCTTTAAACCGCATTCCAGATAACAGAGCGGTAGCCCAGGCGATCAGAGTGTGACACGAGATTTTATCGTGTTTCAACACGAATGTAAATCCGGTTTATTGTAGCCAGTGCTTTGTTACGGTTAACTGAGAATGCGATTAATGTTTATGTACCTGGACCATTAGACGTCATGTCAGTAGAAATGGACATGGGGTTGATTTATTAACGATCGCGGAAACCCTCCCCGTTATCCGATGTGTTTACTTTGTGTCGCAGTCAGAACGTGTGTCAGTTAATCTTCTTGAAACATGAGAATAACGTCCCTTTGTTATAGAAGATTCAGTGGAGCTTCGTTTGTTTATTGTGAGAATTGTACGAAACATACAGGTTGTGGGCAAAATGGGGAATGTTTAAACGTTGCAGCATTTGTTTCACGAAGTCAGCACCGGGCTTTAAATGGCTAGTGATCCGTAGAGCATCGTTGAAGACGGAACCGCGATTTTATTGTGGCAGAGAGGAGAAGGGACAGTTTGAAAACTTTATTTTTCGTACCCGCATTTTGCTTCTTGATTGACGACTCAGAAAATTCATAAATATCTGTTACGTTTTTTACGTTGTATTAAGGAACAAAATTATTAATGTGTAATTATTGTTATCAGTAACGACGATAATTTTTCACGCAGTGCAGGGGAATTATGATCTTCCTTCTCTCTGCTTTGTTGTGGCCTAGGTACTGGGGGTCTGTGTTAGTTATTCAAAAGCTAAACGGGGCTGGACGACCGAGGGGTCGGGAGTTTTAAGGTCGCCCAGACCGGCTCTGGGTTCCACCCAGCCTCCTACCCAATGGGTACCGGGGGCTACTTCCCTGAGAGTAAAGCGGCTGGAGCGTGAAGTTAACCACTCACCTTCAACTAATACCGAGACCAAGGAAATGTGGATCTATACAACAACTCCTCCATACGCCTTCATGGCATGGTGCTTAATTAGTTAAGCACAGGGACAACTTTGCCTTTTTACCGGGTTTTAATAGGGCACTATACTGCGGTAGGTGGGTACAAACATGGCGGAGAAACAGACTATCTTTCCCTTCAAGTTTTACGATAAAGAAATTTTATTTTATTAAAGTCAGGGGACATAAGCATAACAATAATCTGCTGTCGTAGAACCACATTTTGATCTAGTTCAGTCCAGTTCGCCTACAGATCCTGTTTCCTCTTAAGGTCCGTGTCACTTATGAAATCATAGCCTCGTCTCTTAGGCATGCAGGGTTAGCCGACAGGAGAAGTCGGGCCCCATTTCAAAACGCGTTAAGTGGTTCCGAAACGAACAGAACACTGGTTACGGGTCACGACGGGGCCCCGACATCAAGAATTACTGTGCTGGCGTAGACCATCAGCAAATTACTTTTCTGCCCTGCAGGCGATCTCTTGGAGTTTTCCAACCAAGAAGTTATTCAAGTAAATCTTAAATAAACAGGGGTCATAATAGGATGCAATGTTCGGATTTTCCGAACGTGGTAGTGAAATTTTATTTATGGATGGGTTTGGCCGTTACGACTCGTCGACTAAAATCCAGTATGTAAGATTTGAGGCTTTCACGGCGGTGACTATGAAGAAAGCAGTCTTCTGGGATTTGGCGCCGTGTATATGTGGTGTTAACCGACGTTTCGGAGGAACGTATCGCCCCCATCTTCAGGGTTGAAGAAAAAGTATAGGTAAATCTGCAAGCGACAACACCGTGAGACTTTTTCTTCAACCCTGAAGATGGGGGCGATACGTTCCTCCGAAACGTCGGTTAACACCACATATACACGGCGCCAAACACCAGAAGACTGCTTTCTTAAAATCCAGTACTTCGAGGGATTGATCAATGCCCTATTTTAAGAAGAATTCTCTCCCTGTTTAATATTATCATGGCACCACGTGATTTATAATGTTGAAAACAACGAAATGGTTTGACGCTTCGAAATCTGAGTAACGTGTTCACGTCACAGGAAACGCCGTATAACAGATCAGTTCGTTAGTTTAGTGGAGTCATGCCTATTCTTTCTGAAAATCATACGAAACAAATACTTTCTGTGGGTAAAATGTAGAGATATTTATAAAGTTTTACACATTTTTCCGTTTTAAACGCAACCTTCTTCCTCAGTACATGTTTCGCGCATATACTGCCATCATCAGGTGTTGTCTTATCTTGCTAAAATTGTTACACTATATGTCAATGTTACATACCTGCGTGTGGACGCGATATTTCCTAATTAAAATGAATTCAGCTTGGAATTAAGATTAATTAATATGTGTTATTTCCATTGTGATCGTCGTCCATGCAATTAAAAATATAGACGTTTAGGAATATGTCTCGTTGTTGGATTTAGCCATGCTGCATTCCTGTTACGGCGTGGATATAATTTATAATGTGTTAATAATGTACTGTGTTATGTAATTTTATTTTTTTATAGGTTGTGATAGTTGTACTTACACGTATTGTTGTGTAGTTATAAGGGTGTCGATGTAGTGTATTATTTGTAATATTAAATTCGCTTAGTGGATAGTGGAGTCCAACTGGGTCCGCTCTGCACGGCGGCCACTGATTAGCCTATTGTAGCCTGCCCCGGGTGACTATGATGATGGAGAATTTGGTGGACTGAAGATTGGCAGGGGTAACCGAAGTACTGTGAGAAAACCCGCCTCAGCGCCACTTTGTCCACCACAAATCCCACTTGACCAGACCCGGGATCGAACCCGGGCCGCCGCGGTGGGAAGCCAGCGACTAACCGCTTGAGCTATGGCGCGGCCATTTTTGATATTACAGCAGGTAGTATGTTGTAACTATATTTGAAAAAGTTAAATGGCTGTAGTGGCAGTAGGTTGTTCTGGTGCCAAGTAGGAAGCACATCGCACTTAAACGACGTACTTAAAGTGAATTGTGGGAAGGAAGGAATGAAGGTTGCTGGAGCTTGAATCTACCAGCTTCATATAATGTATCTAACCTCCATGCCTCTAGTACTACACAGTTTTGCCATAATTCCGACGACTAAGCATATTTTGGTATTCATTATGCTGATGAAACGTCGAACGCATCTGTGTTAGTCGGCCAAGTTAAAAGTTCCTGTAGTTGTTTTCATGTGCCGCACGCGTGACCTCTCTGTTCCGAAATCTGAACTAACGTGACCTCATTTTGAAAGAACGCAGCCCAAATGATATGGCGGGCAAGTTCATCCAGAGATGTGGAAACATTGCCAGAAATACGCAAGAGGCAAATATTCGCGGTCACGCGCAGACATTCAGTAGCAACCCCAGTGAATTAGGTTACCATTTGATAACGTACTTCACGCTTCTCATATTTTAATTTAAAAATTTTGCTATGAACTAGAATGGGTTCGATTCCCAGTAGGGGCAAAGATGTTTTTCTGTTCTCCAGTCCGTTCAGCCCGAATCTGGGGCTCACCCAGCATCCTATCCATTGGATAGGGGGTTAAAGCGGCCAGGGCTTGTAGCTGTCCACCCAACTGCATCAAGTGCCGAGGTGAAGAATGGTGGAGCTATGTTCTTACTCTTGCATGTTTTCATGGCGTGTGCATAATAAAGCAAAGGGACGTTACCTTTTACATGGTCCTTTGATGTTTGTGTAAAATTCGTTTAAGTATTAACATAACATGAACGCCTCTGTGGTCTATTGGTTAGAGTTCCTGGCTACAGATCCAGAGGTCCAGTGAGAATAATTGAGGAGCTGTTTCAAAGAAATAGCGGCTCCGGTCTAGAAAACCAAAATTAACGGCCGTGGGGATTCGTTGTGCTGACTACGCGACACACCCTCTGTCCGCTAAAGTTGGCACTAACTTCGCCGACGAGCGGCGTTCGCTCGGTCGGTATAGT